GGATTACAAACAAGTTGTTTGTACGTCAGAAACCCAATTCTTCGCAACACGAACACTGCTGAAAGTAGAAAAATCTCAATCAAGAATAGATCTTGAAAGCAGATGATACAATTTTAAGGATAGGTCTGTGTCCTAATTTCTCTCATATTTTGCTGTCATTTGTTTGTGGCTGTTCTTGCTATCGTGCAATTCGGTGGACTAGCGCCATGGCAGAGGAGGAGGGGGCAGTATTAACCGTTTGTCTGCAATATCAAGAAGAAGAAAAGAAGTTGCTTCAAGTACATGCCGGCCCATGTAGAATGTAGAGTACGTGTAGAATGCATGGGCCCGCCGCCATGTTCTTGAAGCAACTTCTTCTTTTCTTCTTCTTGATCCGTCCCAGACAAACTGTTAATAGTAAGGTTGGGTAAGGGTAGGGGCTTGAACTGACACTCCTGGGGAGCAGTGAACCGGAGGACGGCTGGCGGCCCCGCTCCGAGCGCCGCTCCCCCGGGGCTGCTGACGGCGGCTGACAGTGGCTGACAGCCGGCTCAGAGTGTCAGTCAAAGGCGCCATTTCAGGAACCGCAAAAGCCGACGGGCCGCGTGTCGCCAGCAGGGCTAAACCACAGCGGCAAAGCGGAAGGCATTGAACGTACCGCCCAACATTACCGTCGGACTAGGCCACGACAGTGCAGGTGCGGTCGGGCCGGCCCGGCGGCACAAACACCTACAGGGGCTGTTAGGCCACCCCTGACAACTACAGGAGTCGTTGGGCTGGGCCGGAGGCACAACACCTACAAGAGCAGTTCGACAGCTCTGCACGACACCACCTCCAGGTGTGGTTTGGCCGCCCTACCTTTACAACACCCCCAGATGTGGTGAGGCGCCCTGACACTCCCTGTTTTTTTGCTGTTAGAGAAAACGCCAAGTGTTTTGCAACGTAATAATGGTTGTTGCCCTTCTTCGCCAGAGGTAGGTGAGCGAGGTGCGAGAAGACAGGTAGCTCCAGCGTGGGCGGCTCAGCGTTGGGTGGTGGGTGGAAGTAGGGGTACACGTCATTGCCGCGTCAGTCATCACTGCAATCCGGATCCAGCACCCCACTGAGCAGGGTATCACACTCTCGCCGGGGGGAGGTGATAAGTTGTTCTCGCAACCTGAAGGCAGACCCAGTTATCTCTCCGCTTCCCTCGGCGCCCCAGCCCGCGCCGCCAGGTCGGCCGTATGGTGAACGTGTGAATGTGAATGGACCATTCTTCAGGCCGCCTTCAGCAGCCCGCCCCCCTGGCACGCTCTCAATACGGGGCGGCCGGCCGCGGCCAGCAGGTCAGCGGGACGGGCCCCCTTCCCACGGGGACTGATTGGCCGCTCCGGCTGCCGCTCCGGCTGCAGCAGGAGACCCCCGCCCCGGCTTATTGTTCACCACGGAATGCTCACTCCAGATGACTGTATTTGCCCCGCGCCGTACCGCCGCGCTGCCGCTCTGCCGCGCTGCCGCCGGTGCAGTCGCGTCCCGCCCAGCCCCGCCCGGCCGCCGCGCGGAGAAAGGAGGTTGCGGTATGGAGCGTGGCGAGAGAGAAAAAAGAAATGCCCCCGCGCGCGCAAAAAAAGAGAGACATGGCGTTTCAACACCTTTGCGTTACAACGTCGTCAAAGCTCCTCCTCCTGGGCCCCCTGGCGAGGGTGCACAGCGCAAGTCTCAACCCCACCAGTGCGAGGAGAAGCAAATTTCTACCCCCTCTTCTATCGGCATCCCCCCAAGCCAAAAAAAACAACAAAAAAACACAACAATAACGAAATTTCACACTATTAAATTAAGTGTGCAACTGCTTAACACTTGTAAGCGTGCAACTCAGAGTTAGATACTTCCAAGTGTGCATGTGCAACTCCTCAGTTGGGCACTTCCCTTGATTATTATACGCT